AAGTAAAAAGTCGCCATAAAAATAAGTAGTAAAGTAAAGTAAAAATATCAGAAAAATCTACTTGAGTACAGTAACGAAGTATTTGTACTTCCTTACTTCCCATCTCTGTAAATGTGCAATAAGTGCATGACCTGATTGTTGAACTCAGGTGTGTCAAACCAGTGACACGTGTAAAAGGTGTAGGACACCGAGCGTCCAGGTCCACACCTGAGGCATTTTCCTTTGTCTTAGTGGTCTGGACTTTAAGCTCATTATGAAACTTTGGCTAAATTAATTCATTTTCTAGATGATATTTGTCCAATCAGACTTTGAAGTATTAAAAAAAAGATTAGGCAAAAAAGAAGCAGAATTCAAATGAATGTCACACATCTTATTGATTTAGTTTTTTACTATCAGATAAGATCAATAAAATTCATTGAACTGTGTAGTGATGGCATAGAAAATAAATATGAAATAGTTTTTTTGTCAAATATGATTGTAAAAATACAAATTCTTTCTTATTTTGATTATTTTTAATGCTAATATTTTGATATTTTTGAAACTGTCACACATTCTTATAACAAAATATTCCACTTTAGGAAAGAAATGACCTACCAGCAAAACTTTAAAGCCCCTACATAACCCGGAAATGTACTTTTACTTAAGGTTCATTCATGAGAAATTAGCAAAGGGAAAGGTGTCTATTTATACTCTGAGCTGTGAAACTTAATTCTCCATCACCTCTCTGACCTCGGTTACTTCGTCCTCAGTCCCACAGACACGACACACAGACAGGGGTCCTCCTGCAGACTTCATCAGACCTCCTGCTTCTCATATTCTGTAATGCTTAGTGGACTATGTCCATATAACCACATGTTATTGAAGCAGGTGTAAAATGGGCTGCAAATCATTAGGATTGATGAAGTGGATATTTAAAAATCTGTCCTAATCTATTGGAAATGCTTACGCACAGGGAAATAGGTATAACTTGGCTTTACATATAATATAGTATAATAGAATAGAATAGAAAATCCCTTTATTGTCCCACAATGGGGACATTGTTGTGTTGCAGCAGCAAAAGATTATAGCAAAAGTGTTCACATAAATGTGGACCTTAAAGAGTGCATACAAATAACAGAATACTTGACAGAATTAACTAAATAAACTGCACAGTGTATTTACAATATAAATACTGTGCATCTGGAAAGAATAAATAATCAAAATACAGCGGTGGACATTTTGACAGTAATGGATATGTGAAAAATAGCAAAAAATACCAGAGATGTGTAAAAAAGACAGCAGCAGGTTATTTAACTGACTAAGACAGAAACTGGGCAGAATCAGCCTGAATGGAAGAAACTGAGGTTGTTGGGAACAGTGGTGGTTCTAGAGTCTTCCAGCTGCTGGGAGGAAGGATCTGTGATAACGCTCCCTGGTGCCTTTAGGGTGCAGCAGTCTGTCACTGAAGGAGCTGTCCAGTTCAGCACCAGCTTCATGCATGGGGGGGGAGACATCATCCAACATAGATGTTCATTTAGTTAGAATCCGTCTGTTTCCTGCATTGAGTCCAGAGGGCATCCAATCACAGAGCTGGACTTCCTGATCAGCTGATCCAGCTGCTTCCTCTCAGAAACACGCTGCATTGCAACCGTGTAGAGAAACACTGCACTACAATTTACTGATAAACCGAAGCCTGCTGCCATTTTTGTAATTACCCAATCAGATATCACAGACCTGCAGCTGAACAAGTTCATCTTAGTCCAGGATTTGGAATATATTTAACCTATTTTACCCCAAACAGGTAAAAGATAGAACTTTTAGGTGCATGCAGCCAATATGAATGAATAGTTCAGGTTCGCTGCTTGCTGCTTAGAACTGAGTGACTATTTTAGTTTGGCTCCACTGCATTTTTAGCTTCAGTTAAAATGTAGAAGTAGGATCATTTCTTGCATTTTGGTTAGTTTTGGCATGCAGAAGGAAGGACAACATTTATGCAAGAACAAACACTGCCAGCATTCAACAGAAAAACCTGTGAGTGGAGGTGAAAAGAAAAGAGCCAGGACTCTAGATGAGCTGGAGAGATTGTGCAAAAAGAAATAGCCACATACCTCTCTGTTTACAGCTCTGCATTAGTGAATGTTACAGGAAAACAGGAGCTGTACAAAGCAATGACAGAAAAAAAAATAATTGAGCAATCTTGGATTTTGTTTAAAAATGTTTTATCTTTTAATATGGAAAAAAAAGGTTTGAATTAGATATTAAAAATGTTTATCTTTACTAGGAGTACCAACAAATGTTCCTACTCTTGATCCACATTTTAGATCCAGGTCCAGTTTGAAATCCACAACTATTCTCAAATAAAGCTCTCAGATTGTCTCCAGATGTGACGACTTAAATGTCTGCATTAACTTCCAGCTTCACAGGTAACAGCTTGATGTTCTGTCTCTCTGGATAAAGCCTCAAAATCCTTTAAGAAAATTAAAAACAAGAATAAAAGATGACAGAGAGAGTGAGTCACAGCGGCAGGGAAGACGATGAACTGATTGTCAACAATGGGACCAGTATTGCACGCAACAACGAGAGTGACAAGCGTGAAAAGGCTTCACTGTCTTTGCCTTCCATTATGAGAGTCAGGCGTGTCAGATTGATCGTGTTCGCATTTTTCTGCAGCCTGTTTCCTTTGTGGAAGCTGAGACTTAAATGTTTTCTGTTGGTTTAAAAATAATGAGAGCCGGTGGAGTTTTGTTCACATCACTTAATGAGACTCAACAAAAAAAAACAAACAGTGGAAACACTTTTATAGTGTGACTCTGGGTCCGGAAAAGGTTGATTTATTATTAATAAGGGACGACTGAGGCAACATAGAGGATCTTAGGATGTTATTCTCATGGTGTCCAACGACATGGAAGTATCAGTGGGTGATGGGTGGGGCAGCTGCAGTCTTTCCATGAATTATCTCTAGGCTGTCTGTAGAGAAGGGTCAGGAAGTTGATTTACACTGACGGCAGCCCATTTTCCTCTTTTGTGGCTTACTGTAAATCAGCAGAAAGCATTCGTCTTCCTCTGCTCAGTGCATTTCAGGAATGCCGCTCTGCTACAAGTCTAAAGAGAACATAAGCAAAGTGCAAAATGTAGGTCAACAGCAACATTATCTCTCTGTGCTATGAAAAGGTTTTTTCTACCTCACAGGTTTCTTCTGGTTTTGCTTTCATTCCCGCTTTTACTATTTAAGTTGACCAGAAATCTTTTAATTTAAAGAAAAAGATAAACACGAGTAAATAAAATAAGACATTTTTAATTTAATCTGCTGGAGGTTTCTTCCTCTCCACTGTCGCTACAAGCATGCTTAGTGTGAGGGATTGCTGAAGAGTCAATGAGTCGATGCAATCAGCTGGTTTTCCTTAGATAGAAAACTTTGAATCAATCTGACTGGATGATCTGGTGAACTGGAAAGTGACCTGAGATGACATGATGTGCATTGGAAATAAACTGAATTTAATTGAATTTATAAATAAATATATATCAAGAAAAACAGTCCAACCTAACTTAACTTAGTCGACATAAAGAATGAAATGTTGTGTTTCCATTTAGATCTATTCAATTCAAATCTATTCAGTTTATTTCTATAGCTCCAATTCACAACACACGTCATCTCAAGGCACTTTCCAGTTCAACGTTTTCTATCTAAGGAAAACCAGCTGATTGCATCGACTCATTGACTCTTCAGCAATCCCTCACACTAAGCATGCTTGTAGCGACAGTGGAGAGGAAAAACTCCCTTTGAACAGGAAGAAACCTCCAGCAGAACCAGGCTCAGTGTGAGCGGCCATCTGCTGAGGCCCACTGGGGTTCAAGGAGACAGAAGCAGCTGTAAAAGGCTACTATCCACACTCAGACCTGATTGTTAATTATATTATTTGCCAAACTTGAAAATGATGTGAAACTTTCCAGTTTCCTGCATGTGGACCCTTGTATTCACCGTTGTTCATATATGGCCACTGCAGTCACTGTTACAGCAATAACAGCCAGGAGGTTTTAAGGCGGTATTCTGCATATATAAACGACATAAAAGGAAATACTAAAACTGCTGACATAATGCATCATAAATCACGATGAACACAGTAAAAGTTTAACTACTGTTGATGCATAGCATCCCTGTTTAACATTACAACATGGAGAAAATTGGAACCATGGTGAATCTTCTGAGGAGCGGTTGACTGACCAAATGTGCTCCAAAACAATCAACAGTTCATCAAGAAGGGCACAACAGAGCCCTAAAAATAATCTAAAGTACTGCCCAACTTTTAAGGTTTTGTAGTGACCCAGTCAAAACCTTGAACCAAACTGAGATGTTCCAGTATTTGATCAAATCTGTCTTTTCTGCACAAAAACATTCTTTCAAAATTAATCTAATAACGTAGTTATTGGTTCCTAAGGCCTAAAAACCTGCACCTACGTTTAGAGTCAAATTTATTTAGATATTCGTATTTTTATGTGGAAATTATTATTCAGAAGCTACTTATTGGGCTAACTTTGTCAGATTTAAAAAGTTATTTGATGATCTTTCATTTTAAAACCAAAATAAAGTTTATAGGGAGCAAATGCTTTTTAACACTGCAATAAGAAATGATAACTTTTAGTTGCAGCATCAGGGATCATCAGCAAGCAGAGTTACATGAGAAATCAGAAAATAAACAGTTTGCTTTGTGGTTTTTTTTTTTTAATGTTTTTTCAAACTATCCTTGTGACTTTAATAAAAATGAATAAATCAAAGTATATCAGATGATGAGGATGTTGGATGTAGAGCCAAAACTAAACTATTCCTCTGAATTCTAACAAACAAAAAGGAAACCAAACTGAACTCACTCTCAAATGACTGTTCTGCTAGTTTCAACTAACCATAAAAAGGGTATTATTCATTTAAAATAAAAAAAACTAAGAATATTGTAAAAAATATGATGAATAATTAAAATTATCAATCTTTAAAAGAGTAAAAACAGATTATTTCCCACTTTTTACTCAAGAAGTAATTCATTACTATACTATACTATGATATTTTTTCATCAGCATTATTTTTCTCCAGGCACCTAAATTGTTATTACAGTATAAAGATGATATGATCTTGAATCTTAATCAACGCATTTGACTGAAATAATTCAAATAATTTAGTTTTTCATTTAGCTTCTGGTATCAACTTTTGCTTTTCTGCGTTATTCAAGGTGACAGGATGAGAGCACGCATGTTCTGACTCCTTCTTTCTCTCCGTTTTCTCTGCAGTACTGGATAAACGAATACACCTCCAATCTGGGCATCGGAGTCTTCCATTCAGGGATCGAGATTTATGGCCGAGGTAAGACGCAGACCGTGTTTACATCTGTAAAATCCCATTACACATTCTGGGTGCAGGAGCGCTCTGGGGCAACACAGAGCTGCTTTCAATGAAAGGACGGTGAGATCTGAGCGAGGCAGATGAAGTTATAAAAAAAGGAATATGGAATTATACTCCTAATAGCATGACCCCATTTCTCTTGGTTGAGTCACCAATGAGTCACTCTGTGTTTATGTGTGCGTGGACTGAAAATAGAGGGGCAGAATCCCTGCTGAAACCTGATCTCTAGACATCCAATGTGCCCTTGGAGCTGGAAATGTTGGCTCTCTGCATATAGAAATATAGTAAGAATGAGAGATCTAAGACTTACTAAAAGATAAATTATGCTTTGAAAAAGTATTTATCTTCTTAAAGTTATCTTCTGGTGTTGCATATTTGTTACCCAACTGTTCCAGAACATTAAAAACATTTTAATAGCAAACAAAGATTGTTTCAGTTGATATAAAAAACATATCTATGTGGAAAAAGTAGTTGGTGTGCCATCCTTGCATTTGAGGTTACTGTCAATTAGTTTTTTTTTTTAGTTTTTTTATTACTGTGGAGTAAGTTTAGCTAACTGTGCTTTGCATAATGGTTTTAATGCAACTTTATGAAATAATCTTTATCAATGAACAGCCTGTTTGGAGAGTGGTGGCCTAATCCTGGAGAGGCAACAGGATAGGAGGGCAGTCTGAGTTTGTCAGCGCAAAATTTATTTCAATGTGAAAAATTCACACGGAAAGAAAAAGACATTTAGAAGAATTTTATGGACAAAATTATTTTAATACCTTGGCATTCAGACCATCTCCAGGAAACATTAGTGCTGAATTTTACTTTAATATGCATAAGCAGCCCACCCCACCCCCACCCCAGGCCTGAAACTGGTGGTAGAGTGGAGAAAGATGAGCTGAACTGGTGAGATCCAGTAGACTGCGAGAACTGACACTAGTGCTTCACTCAGAACCCAGAAGATAGATGTCGAGCTTGGATAAACACTGGTTTGCACGACGTTGTCCATGATGAGCAAGCATGAAGTGAAAGTGGAGAGGAAAAACTCCCCTTTGTGAAGAAACCTCTGGTAGAACCAGGCTGCACATGGCGGTCCGTGACGGGGAACGCAGTACGAGTACGGTAGGAATGACACTCTGATAGGGATGAGGTTGAAGAAGCGCCACGGAAGATGGAGCTTAGCTACAGTGAGGGATGAGCTGGGTTGAATCGGGGTCATCTGAGTCAAAATCAGACAGCGCAACCACTGCTTGCACTGACTGGGTAGCAGGCAGAGTTGTGTATTTGGAGACATTTTAAGATGAGCTGATTGGTTTGCGTCGGAGGCAGATGATTCTCTGATGATGAGGCAAGTCATTTAGTTTCTTTAGTTGAACTTCCACCTAGGCTTCATTTATGAAGATTATGAAGACTTCATATATGTTAGGCTCAGAGAGAAAGAGAATAAAGAGAGTAGAGAACAGAAATAAAAATATAGAAAACATAGTCTGGCAAAAATTTGTGAATGGGTGATTATCTTGAAAACATACTAGAAGCAAAATGAAGTACAAGTAGCAGCCATTTGCGATTTTACCATATAAACCGTTGGTGGTGCAAAATTGGTCATTTTTTCCCATTTTCTCCTGCTTACTCCATGTCCGGGTCACAGTGGGGCCAGTGCCCATCTCCAGCAGTCTGCGGGCGAGAGGTGTGGTTGAACCCTGGACACAACACAGAGCAACATATTCTCATTATCAGTGCGTATGAAATCGTACGAAAAGTTATGCACACTATTTTGTACGTTTTGGACGTTTTTCCTCAAAAAACCACATCAGTGTGCATGCGCTGGCAGACAGAAAAAAAAAAGCAGATCCACGGACGGACGTAAAACTGGGAAAAACAGTGCAATCAGCACTTATTCATGTCTCTAACTACGTTGCTTGCTGTTTTATATCTTAGGGTTAGGGTCAGGGTTAGGGCTAATTGTAATTTATATTCTATATTCGTGAATGATGCGTCAGATGCGCACACGACGAAAAAAACGTCCAAAACTTACGAAATTACGATGCATAACTTTTCGTACGATTTCATACGAACTCATAATGAGAATAGGTTGCACAGAGACACACAAAGACAAACAACCACACACACACTCACACCTAAGGAGAATTTAGAGAAGCCAATTGTTCTAACAGTCATGTTTTTGGATTGTGGGAGGAAGCTGGAGTACCCAGAGAGAACCCACACATGCACAGGGAGAACATTCAAACTCCATGCAGAAAGGCTGAGAATTGAACCAAGAATCTACTTGCTGCAAGGCAACAGAGCTACCTACTGCACCACCAACTTTTACCTATGTTCAAATGTGCTTTTGGTATTTTTACTTTTATTTAAGTAAAATGTTTATATAAGTTTCTGGGCTTTTATCTGAGTGTTTTTGTTGTTTTTCTTTTGCATTATTTCCACCTCTGCATAGCACCAAGTACTAACTCTCCTATGGATGCCACACTCAGCCCCTTCTCCTATTAATGAACCATGAACACTGACTTTAACCAATGCCAACTGAGGTGTTGAGTGCTAAAGATACTATTCTGACTCTTCTGGGACTCGTCCCCTGAGTAGTCAGTACCTTTAGCAGACCAACCTGTTCCATGTTTCATCCGTACGTTTGTGGAAAATGAATGGTCCTCTACAGCCCTAAATCTCAGGTACTTTGTCTCTCAAACGTTCTTTACGTTTTTAGATTGGGGCATGATGTATTACCTTTTGAGATCTTTTATTCCACCTCATGTTGTCAGATTGGAGAAGTTTAGAGGATTTCTTATTTGATAAAAAGAGCTAATTCTCGGTTGATGTATTTCTATTCTGAATGGATAGCTTAATGCCCGAATAAAGAAAATCATTATATGAAAACTAGATTTTTAAACATGACAGCGACATGCAGACTTTATTTGTTGTTTTCTTTTACACCAATAATTGGAATATATTTTGTTGTTATGTCGTTGCTTTCTCTACTATGCTGTAATGCTAGGGGGTAGAACCCTGTGTTCAAGCTGGTCCAAATGGTTTAATTACTAATGTGTCCATGATCATCGCTCTCTGCCCTGTAATTACAGCTGTAGAGGCCTTTCTTTGGAATGTCTAACCTGTGTTTTGTCTCCTAATTCCCTGCCTTGCAGAATTTGCATACGGCGGCCATCCCTACCCTTTTAGCGGCATCTTTGAAATCAACCCTGGCAACGCTGCTGAACTGGGAGAGACTTTCAAATTCAAGTGAGTGCGCATCATTTCAGCACACGAAGCTCTTAGATGTTGCTCATGATCATGAGGGAGATATTTTTATTTCCAACAGGGAGGCTATTGTTTTGGGCACCACAGACTTCACAGAAGAGGACATAGATAAAATCATGGAGGAGCTGGGTAAAGAGTTCAAAGGGAACGCCTACCATCTAATGCACAAAAACTGCAACCACTTCTCCTCCTCGCTGTCTGAGGTCAGTGTTTTATACTCTTCCTCTTAAAGTGGTGAGAAGCAACATAGGAGCATAAATCAGTCAAATCTCGTCTGCTGTATGAACATCCATCCATCCGTCCGTCGCTCTTATCCCAGCTGGGCTCGCTTGTGCCTACCTCCAAATTTCAAAGGACGAGAGGCGGGGTTCTTCCTGTATAGGTCACCAGTCCATCGCAGGGCAACACAGAGACATGACAAACAACCATTCATGCACACACTCACACCTAAGGAGGATTTAGAGAAGCCAATTAAACTAACAGTCATGTTTTTGGACTGTGGGAGGAGCAACAGTACCCGCAGAGAACCCAGTCATGCAGAGGGAGAACATGCAAACTTCATGCAGGAAGATCTCGGAATTGAACCCGGAACCTTCTTGCTGCAAGGCAGCAGTGCTACCCACTGCGTCACTGTGCAGCAAACTGTGGAAACATTAGACATCAAAACTACATTAAAACGGGGTTTTCATGTTACACATTAATAACCTGTCTTCATCTTAGTTGGACAAAATCCTCCTCTTGTTCTAATGTTATGGAAAAAACTTCATTTGCTTTAAATTTTCAAATTGCAATAAGGGAACCTCGGTAAATGCATTTTTAAGATAAAGTCAAGGAAAAATGTCAGGTTAAAATTGTAAATATGGGAAAAATACCTGAAATGTTAAATCTTTGTTTTTTATATTTTGATGCAAGTCTTCCCATCCCTTGGTTCTTTCTCTATTTTTCATTAACACAAAATATTGTGTAAGTTACAGTCCAACGATAAAGTCATTAAATCCACCACAGCCTAAAAAGAAAGGAACAAAAATGCTCAATTTTATTGTTAGAAGAGTTGATCGATTAAACTGTTTTTGGACATGTAACAAAAGAAGCAGTATTTGCAAGTTTGTCGTTCAGATAGTCTATTTTGCAAGACAGAAGCAATAGAAATAAAATGTATATATGGTTAGGATTATTCTTACTAATGTTATGCTGTTAAACTCAAATAATACAATGCCTGTTGCATCTCACAACTAATGTTTTCCCAAGTAGGTTATCTAATTAGGACGGTTCCTCTGTCACAATAAAAAGACATCTTCATTCTGTATGTGACAAAGAATTGCTAATGGAAGGAGAGATGTGTCCTTAATCAAAGTGTAATATTCTGCTAACGTGTATTATGCAATGATGTGATGATGTGGCAGACTGGAGTTGTATAAAACGCTTCTTTAACTGTGATTCGGGGCCATTTCATGAGATGTGAACCCGGTTAGTAAGCTCTGTCTTCTGTAACCCTAAGCAACTTCTCTGGACTGAGTAAGATTACAATTTGTCAAAATCTGTCATTATGTCTCATGGTTATTTAATACATATACGTTAGGAAGTTGTCAAGTCTCAGAACAGTAGGATCCATTATTCGAGGCAGACAGATTTCTCTAAATGTTTATTGGAAACTGAGCTGAATTGAGCAGCGTCGGTGTCTAAGGCAGGAACCTGTGCAGGAAGAGACAACAGGTTAGAGACCACATCTTCCTGGAAGTGGATGATGATGAACGCGTGAGTCACTAACCTGGTCTGATACTTCAGTCGGGGCCCCGAGGGTGAGGTTGACTCCAATTGGTCGGCTGGCGTAACGGTTGCCGCACAGAGTCCTAGGCCCTGATGTATCGGTGGTCGGAGGAAAGGTCGGAGATCAGAACTGAGCAGCTGAAAGAAGGCAGGATAACCCAGAGGATGAAGCCAAAGCCAATGTTGGTGACATGTTCGGTTGTTAGAGCCAGGAGGTCAGAGATCCAGTGAGGTGCCAAGGGATAATCCAGAACGGAGTCGGGTAACAGTTCCAGGTTCGATTCGCAGACAGACAGAGATCCGGCAGAGTCAGAAGACGGGTCAGGCCAACAGATCAGACGGAGACAGGCAGGCTCAGAGGTCGAGAGGCAGAACAGGTCATGATCATGTAATCAGGATACAGGAATGCTAGGGTACTTCTCACTAACGGCTCGGAAATAATCTGGCACTGATGGCTGGTCTGAAGCCTGGTTAAATAGAGGTGGATCATTTAAGCAGGTAATGAGAACTGAGCAGAGCTAAGCAAGTGTGTGAAATGAGTAATCAGACCAGACATCAGTGCCAAGATCCTGACAGAGGTGTTATTTAAGAAGTTTGTCCAAGGTGATCTCTTTTCAGGAAAAGAACCAGAGACAGAAAGCTGCAAGGTGTAAACACAAAACTTTCCATTACAATATCTTTAGTCTGTTATTATCTCTAAGTTTCTTATTACGTCCAAGGTGTTGCCATATTTGTTAAATACTTTCTATTAAGTTGCTTAGTTTATTTCTTGCGTACTGTTCTCTGTGTATTCTGTTTATCCTCTTTGTTCAGAAGTATTTTTTCCCTTTTCGCAGGTTGTGTCATTGTTAGCTCCTTTCATGTAATGAAGCCTCCATCCCTAAGTGTTCCAGCTCTCCGCTGTCAACAAACCCTCTTTCTTCAGTAGTCATTCTATATGAGCGACACTTTCTTTGCCGGATTCTCCAGTTGGTATCCGTTAGCCTGCTTGTTGCTCCATTGCTCCACCGATTCCTTTATTCTCTGTCTGTCCTTTATGTCCCTTCTTTCTTCTGGTACTCCTTTAACTTTTTAGTTATTATTCAAATCTTCATCCTGCCCACGTTCCTGTTGGTGCTTTGGTCAAACTCCAAACCCACATAACAGGACATCACCATTTGTTTTCTTTGTTTGGAAACAGCCTTTGGTTACATTTATCCTTCATTGTCCATTTATACCTTTATCACCTTTTTTTTTTCTTATTACTTAAATCTCATCAGCACCAACATGTTTTTTGTTGTTGTTTTTTGTTGTGGCTGCTTTGCTTTATTTTTTTATTTTTTCTCTCCAAAATATTACTGAAGCCAGTGTGTGAACTACGTAGTGTCTCTAGTTTTTTAGTACATTCTTAGATAAAGCAAACTATTTAGAAATAATATTTAACTGACCGCTCCAACAGTCTTTATCTCTTTAAACAGAGAAGGAAAAAAAATTACTTCTAAAAAAAGAAGAAAAAAAAAGCATGCACAGGAAGTTGTGGTTTGTGTTTTCCAGTGTAGTCCTGTTTCTCTGACTGTGACTAACTGGATGTGCTCTCTTCGTCCTCTGACATGGGAGCTGGCTCGGAGCTCGTCTGCCTGGCTGTGTGTTTCCTGGATGGGCCGCCTTTTACAGCTGCTTTTT